ATTAGGGGCAGGAAGAAAACATTTAAACAGAGAAGTTTCAGGTAATTAAGTAAATGCACCTTATTTCTGTATACCTCTTACCACTATACTTAAGTTCTAACTAGCTTGAGCATTGATATTTCTATTGCACTTACTCAGCCCATTAATTATACTTGAGAGGAGAATCATCGTGGAGGTAGCTTGGAGAAGCAGACGCAAGAAAAAGGAATCAATGCTTGGAAGAATCTACATCTTGAAACCAAATACTTTGGAGCAAATACTATGTCAATTGAGAACATTTGGAATAACTTTAGGAAAATGTTAATCTATCTTTAGTTTAAGCGGTTGAGAGCAATAAATTGTTATTAAAAAATTATTAAAACCATAAAACAAATTAAATTTAATAATTAAAAATTTAATAACTTTTTAGTAAGTTTTGGATTCACCTCTCTTTACAAACCTTACTTCTTCACCTCTCGAGCAGATCCAAACATTTCACAAGAAACCTTATTAGCTTTAGGAGACATAATTTGCCAAATATCAAAGTTTTTCGATATTCCCTTCCATGCGCCGCCGCAGCAGCAGCCATAATAATAATAATAATAAATACGAAGCTATTAAACTCATCAAAAATTAAGTATACTGTTATGTTTAAATTAAATTTTAAAATTTTAAACAAAATTATTAAAAAAATTAATGCAATGTAAATATTAAATTTTATATTTTTTTTAACATTGAGTTACAAAATTATTTAATAAAATTCTATACTCAAGTAATTCTAACATTTCATTCATAATAGATAATATAGCTAATTATTCAATTTATTTTATAGCATTGTTGAGCTAAGATAAAATTTAAATAATTTTAATTTTTAAACAGTAATAATTGTTATGGGTATTATTAATAATATTTTATAAGTAATTCAAACATTTAGAGAAGAATATAATATTTTGATATAGTTTGATACTTTTGAAAACTATCTCATTAAAAATTTTAAGTTTTTTAAAATTCAGATACAAAACCAGTAAAATTGTTTGAATTGAATTTCAACAAAAGAAATAAATAAATTCAATAAAAAAATAGATAGTTTAGAAAATTAAAAGAAAACAATTAAGGAGATAATGGAAGAAAGGTTAATTATTGAAAAGTATGAGACTATTTATTAGTGAGAAATTTAAAACAAAAAAAAATACTATTGTTAAAATAATCTAACAAAATGTATAATATGAGTTAGGGGTGAACCAAAACTGTGAATCTGACTAATACTCGTTCAAATAAATAAATAAAAAATACAAAATCAACAGATTTAAGTCAAATTTCGATTAAGTCAGGTCACAAATATAATTTTACATAGGTTCTCAAATCAAATTGTTACTTTTCGTACTTTGAATCAATTCATTTATCCAAGAGTCATAGCTTCCTTGTAGGGTGGGCGCAGCCCCCCAACTATTAGCTACATACTAGAGATTTGAAGTGAGATAAATGACGACATAGTCTACCACTCTTTCTCTTGACAAATAAATAACTCCATACTTTATACTTCAAAAACTACTTAAAAACTAAGTATGCTACCATTCAAGGTCCATTTTGTATCTATAATATTCCTCTCCCCTTTTCATTTATAGAAAAGTAATGTTTTGTATGTTTTCTTTTTCATCACTTAAAAGCAAATAGCTCTAACAAAATAATTGGCTAAAGAAACACAAATTTTTTGATTGTTTTGGAGCTTTAAATTTTGAAAGCAAAGTGCATTCCTATAGTTATTGTGTTGTAACATGGATGGTCAAAAGTAAATGCATATGTTAGGACAAAGTACACAACAAGATTGCTAAGTTACTTAGAAGTCGTTTCATTGTTAGATCCTTTTATATGTAAGCTATCTGTATTTACACCATTATTCTATTTGAAATGCAATTTCAAACTAGTTTGCATGTGCGGGTTATGAACTCGCAGATAAGGACAATGTAGTAAGAATCTCACTCATAAAAGCTTATTATCTATGTCAACTAATTATATTCACTATTTTTGCCCCTTCTTTTGACAAAATATCATTGCAGGCCTCACTTTTCAGGATGCAATCTTATCAAACACATCAAAACACCCTTTAAAAAAGGAAAATTTTTGAAGGGTGTGAACCAAATTGGTGCATCATTTAAGTTGGGGATAAATTTTGAAGCAATATAGATTTGAAATTAGAGTTTTGCTTGTAGAATGAGATAATTGGATGAATAAAAATATAAAAAAATAAATAAAATAGTTAATAAAAATAAATAAACAGATTTGCATTTGATGAGTTTATGATTAGTTGAGTCCTTTAAAAGTTTAATGTCCAAATTTTTTTTAAATTGTAAGTGAAACTTTGGAATAATATATAACAAACTTCTATTAATAATGAGAACTTTGTGTCCGATTAATTGTACTCAGGACGTACTTCAGATGTATTTGTTCAATTTTAAAGTAAATTAGAAAAATAACAGAAAATGATTCTAAAATTTAAAATTATCAAACAATTACATTAAAAAAATTTGTATTACTCTAATATTATTTCCAACTCAATTAATAATTATTTCAACTATTTTTTATCATTAATTTAAATAAAATATATTTTTTGACTCTTAAGTTCGCTTCAGCATCTCTAAATAGGTAATTTTAAAATTTCTCTTATAGAAAATTAAAAATTATAGTAAAATCACAAGTATTATAAATAATTTTTTTTAAAGAATTACATTTTAGTTAAACGAATATGTTTTTGTAAAAATCACACAAGTATTTAGACAATAAACAAATAACTAAAAATAGTAATCTTGAGGATATTTTATCAACCATTTTCATGAATTCTTTTTTCTTTTCAAATCAATTGCTTTTTATATACCTTTTGAAATTTATTTTATAATTAATTTTAAACAAAAATCAAACTGTTTTTTTAATTAAAGCTAAAAAATTATTCCTTTTATTTTTTAGATTTTGTTTAAAAGTTTAAAATGGAAAAAAAACGGTTAAAATGATAAAGAAAGAAAGAAGAAAAAAAGATTAATACAAAATCTTTCATCTAAAAACTCTTAAATAAAAATTCTTACATAATTTGTTTTTTCAAAAATTAACTTTAACTTTACGATGAATTGCTTTGAACCATGAAAAACGGAAACCACAACGGGTGAAGCATATGTTGTTTTTCTCTATTTTTCAGTTGTTTGCAATATGTTGAAATAAAATAAATTAAAAAATAATTTGTGAGACTAATTAAATATACTTCAAATTTACCTTATTTTATTCTTTAATCTATGAAACTAATTAAATATATTTAAAGTTATTTAATTTACACAGTTAATTTATACCAGATGTTTAAAGACAAATATTATAAACATCTGTACAAATAAGTTTTAATTAACTTTTTTTTTATACAATTTATTCTTTAGACAAAGTAAAATTTATGATTTTTATTTTCTAAAATTACTTCTGAACACCTGTTACAGTGGGGGGAACAACACACGTTTTTATTTCTGAAATGACAAATGATTTTCTGTCAACTCACATGAAAACAAAGAAAAAAAAAAAAAAAACTCCAATGAAATCGGGAGCGTTGGGATCACGTTGAAAGTGTTTAATGAGGTTTAGGAAAACATAATTGAAAGGGCATAGTTAGACTTGTTATTTATAGTCATCAAAGTTACCTGATCAAGGGAGCTGTATAATGGACCCGTCTTTTATAATAATGATAATAATAAATTATTATTATACGATTCTTTTTATAAAAAATAAATAAAAATAATAAAACATATATTAATCAAACTTTATTTATTTATATAAATAGTAAATGAGTGTCTTTTAATGAAAAATTTATAATAAAAAAAAATATTTTAAATATTGTAAAATAATAATATTTTTATATATATAAAAAGAAGTTGAAGTCATATCTATACAAATCGCTTATTCAGACAAGGAGATATTTTAAAATATATTATATGCATGTATTATAGAATCTAACTATTGCAGATTGAACTTGGATAACATTCTCTAGTTTGGCAGCAGTTGAATCCCTTTCATGGAATATAAAATTTTACCTAACAGAGAGACAAGCAATTAGGGTACGTGAACAATGGTGAGAATGAAGTTATTAGTGAGAAAGAGTGAATGACTCGAGAAAATGTTAGTAACCATTCTTTTAAGTAATTAAAACAGAAACTTGTACAAACTTGTCCAATTTGAAAAAGTGCTTTCTGATGTAAATTAAGAAAGTAGAAATGAAAAAATCATTAAAGGGCCTAAAATTAAAAATTTATTAAAATATAAAAAATATATTTAAACTTAAAATTAATATATGAATATTTTCCAGCAGTATGATTGCTTTCAGCAATAAGAGGTTGAATGTATATTACTAGGTGGAAATCTCAATGTTATGCACGTGGAACCGAACAATGTGAGAGACCAAACTCATTATCGCAACTATTTATACAGTATTCAATAATTTATATATGTTGAACTTTAACCAAACAATGCATGTCAGATTTCTTGGTTATAACATCTACAAATCGTACGTTGTTTGGACGCTGTCTTCGCGACGATTGAATCGTTTTTTAGCAGTTGGATAATCGATCGTAGGGTGGTTTATGTGGCTAATAAATTAAGAAAAATTGAAATAACAACATCTAATACTCTTTTTGATTTAATTCATTTATTCAAATGTTAAATCACTTATTAAATGATTAAAAATACTTTTTAGAAAAACATAATAATACACTATTTTATGATTTTTAATATATTTTCACTTTTTTTTTAAAACAATGTTATTTATTAATTATTTAAAAGTATGGAAGATAAAAAAAAATTGCTTATTTACTCCCAAAGAAGTCTCAAAGTCACACATTGTAGTGGTAATAGTGACCAAATGGGGAAGAACTACCCTATGTACATTTCCAAACATATTGTTTTCCACTATTGGATTTGATCATCTTGGAATGAAATTACATTTTACATATTTTGCTGACAGTAAAAAAAAAAACTGATGAGTCTTTATTTCATTCTCTCACAATAAAATAAATATACACACCCTTTTCATTGCTCATCCCTGTTATGGGAACATAGAACATGTAGGAGCTCAACTCTTAGAAGTAGAAGCGGACGGAGGATGATATAGCTGTTGATACAGAGCAGCCATCCTACTGAATGCATCCACTGTCACGGGCTGCATGTAGTTAATCCTTTTTAACAATCACTATTTAAAATATATAAATATATATATATATATATATATATATATATATATTACTAGCACACACTTTTTAATTTATTTTTTAATAAATCGTTAGCTAATAATTAAATTTGTGTTAAATAGTATAATTCTAACATCACTATTTTGTAATTTATAGAAGAAACTACTCGTAATATGCTATACGTGATTGGTCAATTTTTAAAAAAATTAAAATAATTATCTTATAAATTGATTTGAAAACTAATCACCAAAAATGTAATAAAGAGTGTATGCAGAAGAGTGTTAATTAACATTTTGGAGGAAGTTCTTCGGAAGCTACTGAAAACGTCGCAGTAAACAATAAAGTATTAATTTAATTCCATAAAATAATTGATTTTCTCAATATAACAAGTCGATCAAGGCATTATTTGAAATAATTGAAAAAGAAAAAAAAAAGTCAGCTTCATTCTTTTACCAACTCCTCCCCACCCTAAAAAGAAAATCACAAGTTTGAGTATTCTAAGGTTGTGTTTTGACATGGTGATAGTGCATCTATCATATAATTTAAAGTTTTAAAAAGAAACCAAATGGTCATAATAATTTCGTGGTGATTTTTAAGAAATGTAAATCATGCACTCATTATGGAATGCAAAATAATGAGTACATGGGACATCACCTTTGATTGTGCTCCTGGAAATTGATCGCCACCGCAAGCACTCCATGAGGCCATAGGCATGAAGGGACTAGGGTGAAATACAGGAGAGAAACTGGGAATGTTCATATCCATGCCCATGCCTATACCCATACCCATACCCATATTCTTCCCCATTCCAATGCCCATACGAGCCATCATAGACATTTGAAGTTGTTGTTGCATGGTAATTGGCAGCATCATGGAAGAGTACATTTTCATCCAATTCATCGTTTGCACTTGAGCTTGCAATTGCTTCAAATATTGGATCACCTCATCCAGCATCGAAGCTTTATCGGTCTGCAAAATTAACAAGGTCAAGAAGCTCCCATGATAGAATCAAGATATTTTGTCTGAAAATTTGAAAAGATAAAGTTGTTTATAATTTGAGAGTAATTTTATTATTTTTTATACCAATTTTTATAATCTATTATTGAAACTATTGTTTCCCTGTCACAATGTTTGATTTCTGGTAGTAAATTTCCTAATTACTCTATACTCAACCTGTGAGCTGTCATTCAAATGTTGACTTGGTTAATAAAAGATTTACATCGTTTTTTTCCAATTTTCTTTCTTTCCGGTGAGTGTTTATGCATGCTTGAGGGGTATGTTGAACGATATTAGGCTTATGCATGATTTTCTACCCCCGGAGAAGACATATTTGTGATGTAATTTTAGGATAGAATATACAGAAAAAAAAAAGAGTAAATATATAACATTGTATTAAGTATCAAGTTTTAGTTGTTTAAATAACAAATTTAATTAGTTTATATCATTTTTTCCTTTACTCTGTTACACTCTATTTAAGATGTTAAATCATTTAACAGGAAAAGGAAGAAAAGAGAAATAAAAGGCTATTTTACAAATATGATAACGTAAAAGGTATATAAAATTTGAACAAGAAAAAATTTAGGGCTGTTTTGAGCTGTCCCTGAGTTGAGCCTGTAAATTACATAAGACCCTATCCCAATTGAAAGTGATTGAAAGTGTTTAGATGGAGTAGTGGAATGTCTCCATATGCCCTAAGATGTGTCTCAATATTTAACAGTTGTGTGCGTTGAGTAATTATTTATATTATTATTGATTTAGGATGATCAAAATTTTATGAACTTTATTTCTATTAACATTTTATTTGGAAAGTATTTTATGTTTAAAAATTTTATTTTAAAATTTAATTTGTTGGAACACTTAATTAGTATAAAATTCTCAAAGTTAGAAATTATAAAAGTTACTTCTATTGATTTTTACTAAAATGCTAAAAGTTAGGAAATAGTTTTCCATTGCACCAATAGAATTTTACACTAATATAAAAATAATCAATGTAATAAGTATTTTTTTAATATTAGTTATAAAAATAATCATTATAAAAAACAAGGTGAAATTTTTTTTAAAAAAATTTGTGTGACATTTTTTACGTCAGTTATATTATATAACTAATATAGAAAGTGTTTTTCATATATTTTTAAAGACAATTGATGTAGAAAAATATTTATCAATTTTATGAACATAATATCACATATTTTGCAAAATAATTTACACAAAACATTTTAGACTTTTTATTTCTTTTTTGTGCAAGTTTGATAATCTCTCTCTCTCTCTCTCTTTTTTTTGCCACAATATTTTCAACTTTGGTCATTGATTACATCTTGTCATTGTATCTAAATGTCTCTCTTTTCATTCTATTTTCGTTCTATTTTGAAAGCATCCTCTTCTATATTTTAACATTACTATTGGTTTGATATATAGTTTATTTTTTAAGATCTTAACACCGTTTTTAACTTTTGAAACAAATATTTTGTTATTAAATTAAAAGAAACTAGTTGACATTATTTTAAGTTATTATACTATTTTTCTAGAGACTTTATGTGCATAGCACTTTACTTTTGAATGGTGGATATTTTGTTATTAGTATTTTTTAAACTATTTACATTGATACAGCAGTTGTTTAGTCAATTTTATGGTTGATGAAAATTTTGAATAATTACTTAATAATTTAGATATTTATAATTTATATGACATACAAAGAGTAAGTTTGCACTGATAATATTAGAATAGAAAGTAGCTTAAATTTTAGTAAATATTCCTCTTGTTTATAAAATTGCTTGTATAGATCATGGTTTGGAATTGTTTGTGATTGGTTGAAAAATCTTGATGGAGTAGAAGTGTTTTGATGACTTTTGTAATTGAAAGGTATTAAAACTTAAAATAAACAGATAAAATGTATTCCTTATTGATGTTTTTATTGACAATTGCAATATAAAAAATATTTTAAATTTCTTGAAATGTTGATTATACACACCTAAACTTCATAAAAATAATGCACTTTCAACATTTAAAATTGATGTGAAATATTTATACTTTCTACATCAGTTATAATAAAATTAATATAAAAATAATTTCTATATAAAATGCTCTTACTTACTATTAAAACATCATTTATATTTATGTTGATTCTTCAACTGATATGAAAATTTGTTTTTTATAAAATATTTTTTCCACACTAGTGTATTTTTCACATATGTATAAGAATTATAAAAATTTAATAAAACTATGTTTGAGTGTCATGTTTACGAATAAAGGAAAAAGGAAAGAAATAGTAAATGAAATTTATTATTTTTTTAGAAGTTACTTAATTAAGAGAAGGATAATTAGGAGTCTTTGTGAATACATCGAATGATAATTTTTTAGTTTTTTCAATTTAAGAGTTTTTTTTCACTCTCACTCTCTTGTACTATTTCGTAGTTAGTTTTTTTTTTTCAAAGTATATTAGTTTTTAAAATAATAATTTTTAAAAAAATTATAAAAAATAAAAAATATTAATTTTTAAAGAGAATTTTTTTTCATTTTAAAAAAAAATAAAAAATATAAATAAAAGATATAAAAAACAATAATTTTATCTATATAATTAAGCTTCTTTAACACTATTTTCTCTCTTAATATTAAACGCTTAAATAAAGGGTTTAAGTATTTTTTTTCTCTCTTTTTTTTTAAAAAAAATTCTTTTCATTTCTCTCTTTTCCCTTCAAACATCTAAACAAAATTTAAATGTTTTTATTCGAGAATTAGGTGCACGATTGGTTCAGATTACTTATAAGAAAATAATCTTGTTTTTCAAAAACTTTCTCAACAAATTAACGAAAATGTTTACTAAACAACACAAACACGTCATGAGTACTACAACCGCTGTATCAAATACATGACTGCAAAATAAAGCCCTATAGAATGGTTCCTGAATTTTGTTAGAAAAGGACAAACGTCACATTGAGTAAGAGTTAATGAGCATCTGATTTAGTTTATTTAAAAGAAATTTTTAATTATTTTTAACAGTTTTTAAGTGGGTTTTTAATATGTAAATAATTATATCTCTATATTTAAATAATATAAATACATACTTAACTTTACAAAATATTAACATTAAAAATAATAACTACTATGTGCAATAATAGTATTTTCACATCTTTATTTTACATATCTTTTATTTTTAATTGTTTTCTTTCTCTTTTTTTCAAAAATCACATTACTGATTATATTTTTATTTATTATTTTTTTCTCTCTCTTTTTACTCGTATTTCTTCCTTACACGCCAAAAACACTTTCCAAAAAGTGTGAAAATATCATAATCGTGTTCCATAACTATCCTGTAGCCATTTGATTGGCAAGACCAAGTTTCTTATCAGATAGACACATCCCCAATCGACCCAACTCGACCCGGGCCCCATGCATATATGTACTTCAACACTGTTTTAATTGGACATGCACGACCAAGGTATTGAATTTCATTTATGTTTTCTTAATTTTTATTTTAATCAACTTTCAACTTTTTCGTATTTAATTTATCTGTTTCTTTAATGTGTTTGGTTTATGCGAATGATCATTCTATGTAATGCATTTTAATATTAAATTTATGTTTATAACTTGGTTAAGATATTTTAATACACACAAGTAAACAAAAAACAAGTACAAGGAGATGCCAGCATGTGATATGGGGTTCATGCCATGGTACTGTATCCTCATCACATGGGACCACTCATTGAGTGACAGGGGAAAGAAAGGAGGATGCGGCAGCTGAATGGCCACGTTTATCACTTACAATAATTTTAAAAAATAATGGAAACATGTTTTAGAATTATGATTTTTTTCATAATTTCGTCGTATTTTATCAATTTTTATTATTCTATCTACTGCATTCATCCATTACTTTTTTTATATTTTTCTTTTACAAATGAATAATTTTCCATTTTTGTAGGACAAACCTAGCTTAGTTATCACATTAAAATATTATAATATCAGCAAAGGAAATAAATTGCTACCCTTCCTTACCTTACTGGAATATGGGACCAGCTTTTGCAATGTTTTCAATCTTTGGTTGATCTTATCTCTCCGCCTCTGAAAAGCAAAGCATTAACAAGTTCCAGATTATGATGATAAAATACATGGAAAATATAATTGGTGAAAAGAGAATTCAAGTAACCCTTTCAGATTGTTTGTGTACAGCTTGAGCTTTGCTTCTTTTATTGGACCCCAAAGATCTATCAATTCTTGTTGCCTTGTAATCCCCATCCCCTGCCTCACTCTATACAATTTCCATCGCATAACATCATAACAAATCACCAAATTAGCATCAATTCTCTCCATTAATTCACTACTTTTGGTAGGAAAAAAAATTCATGTATTTTAAATTTTGAAAGAAGTTCTTTCAAAGGCTTATCTGTAATTACATGTTATTTTTTAAATATTATTGATCTTTTTTATCAATTAAAATTTAAATTACTTTAATAAAATATTTATATTTAATGTTACCACAGATTATTAAAATAACTCAAATTTTAATTGATAAACAATACTAACAAAACTTAGAAAAGCTATCCTTAAATTTTGTCCAAAATAAAATTGTTTCAAATTTGGTCACATATTTTTGGATTAATTTATTTTGGAAATAAAAAATTTATTAAAAAGTTGGTAAAAATCTTTTTCTTGAGTAAAACAATTTAAAACTCTAATTAATTAATCAACTGTTACCAAAGAAAAGATTTAGGGTATATCGAATCACGTTGTAAAATTATGAATATAAACCGATTTAATTTTTAAAATTAAAGAATATGTCAAACTTTAAAATTATCAAATACAAGTTATGTAAATCTATATCCTTATGATTTTAGACGCTAAAATTATTTTCTTCTGATCATATTAAGACTTATTATGATAACTTTTTTGCTTGATAATATTAAAGATTAAAATTATGTTTTCATAGTTTTAAAAATTAAATATATCAATATTTATAAATTTTAAAAGAGTAAATAATTTAGCCTGTCAAATTATAAACATCGATAATTTAGGTTTTGATTTTACAAAATATCATTTTAATCTTTATTTAAAAAATTAATTTTTCCTTTTTCCTCGTATTAAAAAATTAAATCCTAAACAAAGTGAAAATCAAGAGCCTTACCTGTGATCCACGGTGGCGAATGGAATCGTGGTCGTCGTTGGTGGTGGTCCCGGTGCAGTGCTTGGCGGAGCCGGTGGTGTTTTCCGGCGAACCCATGGAGGCAGAATTGAAACCCACAGTCACGTCCTTGCAACAAGTGGCACTACCACTCGCACTCCAATCTCCGCAGCCACTTAACTCCCGCCTCACAGTCTCAGAGGAACGTCCCACGCACGCGCCAAGCGTTCCTGACTCTACAACCTGCGGCATGCCCTGTTCCGAGGAACATGGCACTAAAGCGTCCACAGTTATCGCAATTTGGCGAGGGTTAGGCCATGAAATTAACTGACTTTCATGCTTGTTTTCGCCGACACATTGAACTGTGGACGCTAAAGTATCATTTGCAATAGACTTGTCCCATGTGTTAAAGTTTCCAGTGCTGTCTTCGTTAAGGAGCTTCGAAAGTTGTCCCTTTCTGCATGTGTAGTCGAACCTGCAATTCATGTTCCACCATTAGCAGCTATATGTATATATATTAATATGAAAAAAGTGAAATTGAAACAAGATAGAGAGATTAAATTTACATGGGGACTTGAAAGGCAATGGTATTGGAGTTGGGAAGAAGAGGGAGTTTTGTGGCGATGGGAATATTGTCGTCGGCATCACAGCTAGGCACACACTGGCTCATTTCTGAACTAATTTTATGAGCCAATACTCTGTTCCGCCTTGTTTATGAGCTAGACAGGATCCAGATCGATGCAGAGCACTCAGCAAAACGTTCATGCGTTTGGATTGTTACCCACTCTGTTCCTATCTGCTTCTCTTTATGTATCAATAATTTAAGGATCAAATCAAACATTTAAAATAAACGGGAAAGTAATGATATTTAAAGACATCAAATCAAAATATTTGTAATATTTAAAATAATTAGACCTTCTCTGTGTTTATTAAAGGTAATTTATAATTTATTAATTTACTCAACTTTCAAAAGTTACTTAAATTATTGTTTAGTTTTAAAAACTAACTATTAATATTTTTATTACATTCTTACTCTTAATTTTTTAAAATAATTTATTCTTTGTACAATTAAAATTATATATATATATATATTATCAATTTTTTTATGATAGTTTTATTTCTTTTTCTTTATTTTATTTTTTATCTCTTTTATTTAAATGTATTTTAAATTAATAAGAGACATAATTTTAAGTCTATATCAAATATTTTTATTTTTTTAAGTTATTATACAACTATAAACTTCTAATTATAAGTAAAAATTTACGGTTAGAAGCTATAAGTTTGTAATTTTTAATTTTTTATAAAAAATAATATATTATTTAATATTTTTTGTAGAATGTAAATTTTACTAATATAATAATTAAATTATATAATTTTATTTTTGTGATTATGGTTTTAAACATCACATAATATAATTTTTTATTAAATTTGTTTTTATACAAAATCATATGAAGTTAAGATATTTTGATAAAAAAAAATTCAAATAACAGATCAATTAGCACAAATATATTCTAATTTAATTTGTTATCTTAAATATAAGTTTCAGTAAATATTATGTTAAATGTTTGGAAAAATAGAAATAGTCTAGAAATAATAATAAATTAATTTTAAAATATATAAATATATAGGTTGTGAGTAAGAGAAGGTGAATTGTGCGAAGATGTAAGGTCTATAAAATTAGGTACAAACACATTGGAACACATGTTGATGAGGACCACAATTGTTTTGAACGCTGAAATGTATGATACAGAACTCGTTCATTATGGATTAAAGAAATAGAATATCTTTATCATTCAAAATAAAATTTACGAGTGGCTGGCAAGAAGAAGGGACTGAAATAGTTATATACTACAATTTGTTTATTAACGAAGAGACTAAGAGCAACGGGGACTCACTTCATATTATCTGTTAGTTGTGGAAATTTTTATTTTTATGACAGGATATTATTAACTAATACTCTTAGGGTTTGTTCAAAAATGAAAGATGTGATCTCTTCTAATATTTTTTTTATTTAAAAAATTTAATTTGATTTAAAATTCAAATCTTAAAAAAATTTATTAAATTAAATATATATTTTTATATACTTATAAATTTCAATTATTTTAAAATTTTCCAATCTTAATTTGAATCAAAATTTAATTTTTAACCCACCATATTAATAAACATGAAAAAAATATGGAATTCAATTTTTTTTAATTTTTTAAGATTTATTTCTCATTTAATTTTTTTTTTAATTTAATCTTATGTGATGAAATAATATTGTCACAAATGGATGACAAGGACATGTAAAAAGAAGAAGGGTAAAAAAAAGGTTACAATCAATTAAAAGAAATTGATGATAAAAAGTCTCTAACAAAGTTTATTTTTTAAAAAAAAGGACAGAAAAAAGGTTATAATTAATTAAAAGAAATTAATAACAAAAAAATTTTACTAAAATTTATTAAAAAAAACATTAAAAAAGTTTTTAATTAAAAAATATTTAAAAAAATATTTAAATTTAAAAATCGTTTACGGGTATAAAAGGTACATCTTATTATGTTTGTTGATTAAAATAGTTAATTTTTAATTAATTATATAAAAAATATTTTAACTTTAAAAATATTTATTTTATTATAAAAAAATAATTAATATTGCATGAAATTATTCTTAGTTTAAAAAATTTTAAAAATATTTTACACTTGAAAAAATATTTAAAAAATTAGAGTTTTGTAAAATTAAATTTTTACTAGTAAGATGAAAAGAAGAGAAGGAAAAAATATTTAGATTAAATTTTTTATAAAAATTTCGCATGAACAAGTGAGAATAAAAAAAAAAGAAGAAAAAAAACAAGAATTATATATAAAAAAAAAATAAAGAGAAATTGATTCTCCTTTGTATATATTAGTATTTTTAAAATATTTATTTTTTCATAACTTTTTTTTCTATTACATGTATCTTAAATAAAGTTTATTCTTTTGTTTTTTTTTTCTATTTATTGCCCAATTTTTTTCTTTTATCATATACAAAAATTTTGACTGAGGACTTAAATTTTTTATTTATAGTCACTTTTTGAAACTTTAAATCTCATTTATTATTATTATTATTATTATTATTTAGATAAAATACTTCAACTTTTTATGATTTTTTATTTTCTAACAACCACTCTTTTTTTTTTTAATTGTTTCATCTACTTCTTTTAAAGATTTATTCTCCAATCATTTTTTTTCTACTTCTTTTATATACATTCTAAATAATCCAACTAGTCTTCATTACTTAACCAGTTTAGACGATGACTAAAAAGGTCAACTTAAGATGATGGCCCAAAGCCCAACAACTTCTTCAATTCCATTTAAATTTTTACCCATAAAATAAGTATTTAATTCAAACCCATTTAAATTTTTACCAAGAAAATAAGTTTAAACGAAGCAAAAGTAATCCTCCCCAACTACGTAGTAGTTCAGTAGTAAGTTAGAAAAAGATTTAAATCCTTCGACATCAAAAAATAAAAAATACTTGTGTATTGATAAGTATTGACTTTTGGCAATATGTTGATGATGTTTACTCTGTATAAAATATCGTCAATGCATATTTATCACAGTGGTTCTTCCTATAAAATGACAGTAATGTGTTTACACGCAGTGATTGAAAGTTAGTTCCTGATGAGACAAGAATTAGAAGTAAGGGAAGACCAAAATCAACTTGAATTAGGAATGAAATAGATTGGATTAAGTCACAAAGTAGATAAAGACGTAGTATTTGTCATCAAATTGGTCACAATATACGTCAATGTACTTCTATATTGCCTAATGAGTAGTATAGAGGCTTTTATGTATGAAGTTATACAATGTATAATGTTAATTATCAGCATGGTTCTTTGTTGTTTATTTATTTGGCAATATGTTCATTATGACCCTTCTTCTGTTTATAAGAAATATGCATAACATAAGTTAATGTAAATTGAACAATGTATGAATTTAAACGAAGTATCATATGTCATAGAACATCTAGTAAAGCTACAAACGATGGAACAACATAAATATGTCAAATATTACATAAGATATTTGTATAATTAGTGGGCTCAATTTTTCAAGCTCTATCCTCATGTACCTCACTGACACTCTACTACTGGAGTGATCGCTTAACATAAAACTCTCAATCAACCGCAACATGTAAGCCTTAACAAACTGGATGATCTGTAAAGGATTTTGTGCATGCGTCGTCACATGGGTAAAATGTTGGTCTAACCAACTCGTCTTCACGAAGTTAGCAACAAAAGCATCACGTAATAGTCTAATCCCTATACTCTCCTCAACAATATCAGCATAATTACCTCTAATAAGTGTTATCATAGGTCTTTCATCAATCTATAAGCCTAACAACATGAATATATCCTGTAAAGTGATCGTACACTCACTGGAGGCAAGTGAAAAGTGATCAACAAGAGGTCTAATGAAAAATGACATAAATGAACAATCTCAGTAAATCCCGCAAGCTCTAAATGTGAAAGGATCTCCTGTGGAACACCATCCAAACCAGCTAGAATAAACTGACTATTTCTAACATTCAAAATAGGATGTTCCCGACTACCCCAAATATGTTCAGACACGTGAATCTTCTGCAAATGTAATAATGAAGGATCCTGTGGTTTAGGATGAATGATCCTATTATGTTCTGAAGATAAAGTCAGCTAAAAAATATTATATATATGTGTGTATTAGTTTCATCATTATTATAAAATATAACATGTTCAATAAATTTATAACATAAATCCTAATAATACAATTTTATATTGTTTATTTTTAATTTTTTATTAGTTATCATTAATTAAATTATATAATCAATAATTAATTTCAACTAATTTGTATCACTCCAAAAATTTATATTGCATAACTAATTTTTTTATTTCATTAAAGATTAAATTATTTAATTAAAATAACTTAATCTCATCTTATTAGTATAACTCTAAAATTTAAATTCAATAAATAAATTTATTATTTCATCATAAATAAAATTATATAACTATAATTATTTATTCTAAATTAATTAATATTACTCCAATAATTTAAATTACATAACTAAATTTATTATTTCATGATAATTAACTAATATTAATTAATTTTTTCTTTCAATTATTTATAAACTCAAATTTTTGCTACTATAATTTTAATATAAATTAGTATGATCAATTTTAATATTTTTAATTTTAACTATAACTTTTTTTTTGGTAATTATCTGTTCGTTAATCATAAATAAATATTTTTTTTAATATTTTTTTATGTTAATTAATATAAAAAACAGAATTTATGTTATTATTTTTATACACTATTTTCTAATTATCATTTCTTATATAATTAATCAACCAATTTGATACTACTATTTTCTATTTTTCTATTCTAAATTTTATTTTTTTATTTAACTATTTATTATTGTATTTAATTATTTTAATTATTTTTTATTATTTTATAAATTCACACTTCAAATTACTATAATAATTGTAAATGCAAACTATAATTTTTAATCTAAATATTGTTAAGATATGTCAACTATTCTATTAGCAAGTATTAGGCAATCAAATATTGTGTTAGCGGTAATTTAGGCATTATTACCGCTGTGAGGTAACTTGTGTAGCTGTCATTCCTTTAATAGAGGAGGAATTATAGCACCCTTGTATGTATATATATGGTACATTATTCTTTGAAATAAGATATCAGAATTATTCTTTAAACCTTTTTTTATATGGTATAAGAGCCAAACACCGACATCCTCTACAATATAGGAATCAGTGCTTCTTTATTTCATTGAATATTTCTGATGGCTTCTTCCGATAAAAATCAATAGGAGAAACATGATTCTGGGACTTCCGCTGCTACCCATATGCACGAAGCGCTCACCCCTAAACGGCTTGACGGCACCAACTATGTTGAGTGGTCGTTGAATGCACAGAACAAGATCAGAGGCAGAAAACGTTGGGGTTACATCTCTGGAACAAAGGCTGCACCAGAAAATAAGAAATCTGATGAATATGAAGCATGGGAAGATGAAAACTGTCTAGTCAAGTCTTGGCTTCTGGACTCCATGACGAAAGAAATCAGATCCCTCTTTATTCGCTTAACTACGGTAAAGGACATCCGGGACACTGTGCAACAAACATACTCAGTCAACCACGATGCGTCCCGATCATATCAATTATATCATGAGGTAATCTCTACTCAGCAAAATGGAGGATCTGTTATTATAAATTGCAAAGATTATGGCTGGAGTATGATACTATCACGAATTGTACCATGGAATGTCCTAAAGATGTTGAAAAGTATAACAACATGATTAATTCTCAACAAGTTTATGTCTTTTTGGCTGGCCTGGATACACATTTGGATGCAGTTCGTGGTCGTATCCTTGCTACTACTCCCCTTCCAAATGTTTAATCAATTTATGCAACTGTTTGTGCCGAGACAAACCGCCAAGAGGCTATGCTTGATAGTTAGTCTACTATGGGGACTGCCTTTGTTGTTAAGAAGTTTCCTAAGAAAGGAATCCGCAAGTGTACGCACTGCAATAGGGATAATTATGTAATGGAGACATGTTTTAAACTCCATGGCTATCCAGATTGGCATCCAAAAGGCAAAACTACTCCCAATACCAAGGTAGAAGCTACTTCCAAGAGCCATAGTTCTACTGCTGCCGGATTTGTGACCAAGTCAGGTATATCTAACTCTGCTATTAATCTTTCTGTTGTTACTAGGGATAGTGATTAGATAATTGATTCAGGTGCTACTGATCATATGACTTGTGACTCACATAAATTTACTAATTTTTTCCCTAATTGTTCTAAAACTGCTATTATTAATGCCAATGGGGTCTCATCTCCTATTGAAGGTGTAGGTACTATATCCCTCTCACCATCCTTATTAATTTTTGATGTTTTATTTGTTCCTACATTGAACTGTAGTCTTCTCTCTGTCAGCAAGTTAACCAAATCACATTCTTGTGTTGCCTCGTTTTATCCAACCCATTGTCTTTTTCAGAACATCCATTCCAAGGAGAAGATTGGCAGTGGTGGAGAGAGTGAAGGACTATATTATCTTGAAAATGTCTCACAACAAACCCATAACGGAGCGTTGGCTTGTCTTGCGAATGAACACATACAAGATAAAAACAAAAAGGAAATTTGGTTATGGCATAGACGATTAGGACATCTCTCTTTTGGTTATCTAAAAAAATTATTTCCATCACTATTTCATAAATGCAAAATTTCTGATTTTCTTTGTGAAACTTGTGTAATGGCAAAAAGTCATCGTGTTGTGTTTCCTTTAAGCAATAAAAAAATAGATTTTCCTTTTTCATTAATCCACACAGATGTTTGGGTGTATTTGCTTAAACATAAAAGTGATGTGTTTAATGTGTTTCATTCCTTCCATCATATGATAGTTACACAATTTAACACATATATTAAGATCATTCGATCAGACAATGGAGGGGAATATTTTAAGACTGAGTTAATAGAGTTCATGAACTCTGAAGGCATCTTACATCAAACTACATGTCCTTATTCACCACAACAAAATGGAGTGGCCGAGAGGAAAAATAGACATATATTAAAGGTGACAAGATCACTTTTGATAGATGGTAATGTCCTATCTCATTTATAGGGTAAAGCTGTGAGCTCTGCAGTTTATTTGATTAATCGAACCCCTTCTAGTGTGCTTAACTTTCGAAGGCCTTTAGATGTGTTGTCTGATCATTGTATCCTTCCTTCCATAGTTTATTTACCACCCTATATTTTTGGATGTGTTATATATGTTCACTTACACCCACATCAACGTACAAAGCTTGAAGAACGAGCTTTAAAATGTGTTTTTGTTGGGTATGGATCAACTCAAAAAGGTTATCGTGCTTACCATCCACCATCACATAAATTTTATATCTCTATGGATGTGACATTTAATGAACATAAATTTTTTTATGTTGATTCTACACTTCAGGGAGGCAATGAAAGTGAAGTACATAGTCATGATATTAGTATGTTTGATATCCCAGATATAAAATTATACTGTGAAGATAAATTATCGTGTGAGGATCATTCTGCAAGAAGTGAGCCAATTCTAAATATGGACACTTCTTTTTTGGATAATATAGTGTCTTCTGATCATAACCAATTGGCTCAATCTTCTCCACAGGTTCGGCTTGACTCTTCAGAGGTACCTTCTTATCCTATCTCTGATCATACTAATATAGATGAAACTAATCATGAAATTGTTTCTTTTGACCCTACCCTTGATAATACTAATTTAGATGAAACCGATCATGAAATTGATCCTTGTCTGCGTGAGACCACCAGCACACCAAATACTGAATCTACTACTGTCCAATATAATCTTCCACCCTGTTCTAACCGTGGTCAACCTCCAGCTAAATATGAACCAGACCTCCAAGCCAAAGTTAAATATCCCATTAGTAAATATGTGTCATCTCACAAGTTATCCCAGTCATATGCATCATTTGTATCTCAATTATCTTCAATTTCTATTCCTAGTAATATACAGGAAGCTTTGGCAGATCCTAGATGGACCAAAGCAATGGTTGATGAGATGACAACTTTAGAAAAAAACAACACTTGGGATCTTGTGTCCGTACCTAGAGGGAAGAAAATTGTGGGCTGGAAATGGGTATTTACAATTAAGCATAAAGCTGATGGAACTATTGAGAGGTATAAAGCACGACTTGTGGCTAAAGGTTACACTCAGTCTTATGGTATAGATTACCAAGAGGCGTTCGCACCGATAGCCAAGCTTAACACTGTGAGAATACTTCTGTCACTAGCAGCAAACCAAGATTGGCCTCTTCTACAATTTGATGTGAAAAACACTTTCCTACATGGAGAAATTTTAGAAGAAATTTATATGGATTCTCCACCAGGCATGACAGATTCAATTGGAATGAAGGTTTGCAAATTAAAGAAGGCTCTATATGGGTTAAAACAATCCCCAAGAGCATGGTTTGGAAGGTTTACCAAGTCTATGGAGGCTTTTGGCTATAGAGTAAGTAACTCTGATCACACCTTATTTTTGAAGAGAGGAAAAGGAAAAATTACAGCTTTGATTATATATGTAGATGACATGATTGTTACAAGAAATGACCAAGATGAGATTTCTAGTTTACAACAATACCTTGCATCTGAATTTGAGATGAAATAACTTGGAAACCTCAAATATTTTTTGGGTATTGAAGTAGCTAGATCAAAACATGGTATTTTTTTATGCCAAAGAAAATATACTATTGACTTACTATCGGAAACTGGACTGCTTGGGAGTAAACTAGTTGATACACCAATTGAACAAAATCATAAACTCTTTCAATACTCAAATTCAGCAAGCATAGACAGAGGGAGATACCAAAGGCTGGTAGGAAAATTAATTTATTTGTCTCATACACGTCCATATATTACCTATGCAGTGAATGTTGTTAGTCAATTTATGCATGACCCACGAAAGCTTCATATGGATGCTGTTGAGAGGATTTTGAGATATTTGAAGTCCACTCCTGGAAAAGGAATTTTGTTCTCAAATCATGGAAACTTAAAAGTAGAAGGGTACATTGATGCAGATTGGGCAGGTTCAAAAGATGATAGAAGATCTACCTCTGGATACTTTACTTTTATAGGAGGGAATCTTGTAACTTGGAGGAGTAAAAAACAACCTGTAGTAGAAAGATCTAGTGCTGAAGCAGAATTCAGGGGCATGGCACTAGCTGTATGTGAACTTTTGTGGATTAAAAATGTGCTATCAGATTTGGGCTTTAAACAAAATGAAACTATGAGTTTGTACTATGACAATACGTCGGTTATAGCAATTGCTCACAATCCAGTGCAACATGATAGAACAAAGCATGTGGAGATTGATAGACATTTCATCAAAGAGAAACTTGAAGCTGGAATAATTTCCTTTCCCTTTGTAAGATCAGAATTGCAGTTGGCTGATGTTCTCACCAAAGGAGTGTCAAGCAGAGTGTTTAATGAGTCTTTATTCAAGTTGAGAATGTGCAATATCCATGCACCAACTTGAGTGGGGTTGTTAAGATATGTCAAATATTCTATTAGCAAGTATTAGACAATCACATATTGTGTTAGCTGTAATTTAGGCATTATTACCGCTGTGAGGTAACTTGTGTAGCTGTCATTCCTTTAATAAAGGAGGAATTATAGCACCCTTGTATGTATATATATGTTACATTATTCTTTGAAATAAGATATCAGAATTATTCTTTAAACTTTTTTTTATATGGTATCAGCTACTATAAAATTTTAATTTTACAAATTCTGGTTATTTTTATATTTTTACAAATTTATTAAAATTATTTTAATTTAATTTTTAATCTAATTATTACTATAAAAAAATTTATAATCAATAAAGTTTTATAAATTTAGTTATAAAACTTCAATTTTTAATCTAACTTTACTATTTATAATAAATATAAAAAAATTATTTAAAAAAATATTATTTAAATCATTAAGCCGATTATTGATCTATTAGTCTTGATATGACATGGTGAAGTGTGATTGGTTGTTTTCACGTGTACTAAACCTAGTCAAATTCCCCTTCTATTATAAGACCAATAACATTTCAACCGCAATTTTATATTTCCGAGGCGACTTCTCCGTCTAAACTCTCCGACGCCGACAAACCTCGCTCACCGGAATTAATCATTCAAGTTCGTTTCGGTTTTTCTGTTCGCTTTCTTTATTCTCATTCCCTTAGATTGCAAGTATCACGGATCTCGCTTTTTATTCTAAAATTTTAGGGTTCTGAAAGTGAAGATTCATATCAACGATCTGTTCTGCTTCAATTTTTTCCGTAGTTGGAATTTTTGAATTATGAATTTGGTTGATTTCTCCGATTTGAATTGTTTATTAACTCAAATGAGTTTAGTTTGAATATTGGTTTTCGTGGTTTGTTCCCGAAAGGTTCTGCCAACTTTGGGTGTAATTGATGTGAACTATGACGTTGTGGATCCAATTTTTATTTGTTTTTCGTTGAATGAGTTTTTCTCAATCTGGCCGTTGAAGTTTGCTTTGAGGGTTCGTGATTGTTTAATAGTGAGGTGTACCACTTGTGCATAAATTGATTGCTTGTGTGTTTTAGGATCTGGGTAGGGTTTCTGTGCTGTAGGTTCTGCAGATCTTGAATTTTAGTGGTTGTTATTGTTAATTGATTAAGTTTAAGGTCTGTGCCTTTTGTTTGAGTATTCATGTGGCTTGTTCATGCATTCATAGCAGATGTAACATGGCAGGAACGTATCGGAATTTCTAAGATTTATGAACCTCAAGAATAAATAGGATAAGCAGTTAATTTGAGTTAATTTCAAATGTTATGCATTACTTTTTCATTTGTTTGACGGTTGAGTACTTTAGATTTTCGTTGCATTTGCAACACTAACTTGTTTCCAAATTCTTCTTGAGGTAAGGTAGTGTGAGTTTTGAGAAGATGAAATTGTACTCATTGATCGTTGAGGAGGTTTTGTATGTTGGTCTTAGTTTAACATTCGTAATGTATGTATGAAATTTGTGTTTCAGAAAATGGCTTTAGGTGGAACAGCTCCCCCAAGAGGAAGTGCAGCCGCAACTGCAAGCATGAGGAGGAGGAGAACAACCGGTGGTGGGGCCTCTGGAGGAGCAGCTGGAACTATGCTTCAATTTTACACTGATGACGCCCCTGGACTCAAGATCTCCCCTAATGTGGTTCTTGTAATGAGCATTGGCTTTATAGCATTTGTTGCCATCCTTCATGTGATGGGCAAGCTGTATTTTGTGCGTAAGGACTGAGGAGGCTTAGAGAATATGTCAAGAAGTTAGGTCCATTTTTGGATTTTTAATACACAGATTGTTATGGAATTTAGATCTTCAGTTGCTGGATCCACCCCCTCCTTTGCTTTTGTTTTATGGTTCAATACTCTGCTAATTTTTTAACAGTTAAAATTTAAAATATTTCTGATCGTAGGAAGCATTTCTTTTACATTTTTTATGTTTTTGCACTTGTTGAAATATGTTTTAGTTCTTTTAGTCATTTCTTAGTGCTTGAAATTGAAAGCTATAAATGTTTGAACTTTCTGTGTAGATCGATTGCCAATCATATATGCCAGTCAAATTAATTTATATTTTGTTCACCTCTGTTTATAAATTCGAGACTACGTATAGCTGAATTTCTAGTTGAACATACCTTTTCTTCTAGTCGGGCGTTAATCCTGTGTGACTTGATACTGGTTTGGTGACACATCTCTTCGAGGCATGATTGCCTTCCTATTCCTATTTGATGAGCAGTCTGAAGAATAAGAACAGAGCCTACGAGTCTGGCTACGCAACTTGTAGCAGTTTACCATATTGATGTGGTGATGGGTAATCAGAGACATGGAAATTCGATCCATTTTCAAACAGATTCTACAGATATAGATTTCAGTTATGCATTATTATTATTATTATTATTATTATAAGTCAATTTGTGAGGTTGAAAAAGTTTTTTGAATGGTTTGAACTACGACTTAATTTGGAAAAAAAATTCTATAAACGTGCTCGTAGGAAAAGAAATTAAGATTAATTATTTATCTTTTTAAATTTTAGAGAAGTTAAATAAAAAAATTTAAAAAATAAAGAAATATAAATTATTTTTAACTTATGAAAAAATTTGTTTTTATTTTTTTAAAAATATACATAAACTAGACTTATACATTTTTAGAAAAGCTTTTGCCTTGTGAATGTTATTCACCCTTAATCATATTTGGTTCAAACTTCAGGTAAATCCATGCCACAATTTCAGGTCAATCTGAACAGAAATTTTTTTGTTCGACTGGTCAATCTCAATAGATTGCTCTGTTGTTTTTACCCCTTCAATGGTTTGCCTCCCTTTATTGCCTGAGGCCTTGAACTACTTTCATTTAGGTTTCCTTCTCATGAACATTTCCATTAACATTATTCTTATACTGCACACATTTGATTGATACAATTCATTTGGATCTGTAGTCCGTACACTGCACTTCAGTACCTGTTGCTATCATCAATAGCTTTAGAAGGGGAAAGAGGAAGAAATTTTATCATAAAAATTCTGAAATTTTGATAGATAAACTCTAACAAATAAGACGAAGCTCTTTTTTCAACTTTTCAGAACGAGTTAGAGTTGAATATATCTTCGTTGGATATGATGTAGGAACCCATGAAAATGAAGAGGCTCAATTAGTAAGTTTGACACTGTTTGGATGTACATTTAAATATTTAGTGGCATTAAATTTACCTTTACAAATTTTTAATGTTTTCATACACGTGTTAAATTTAAAGTGTTTACAAATTTGTGCAATGGCTGCCATTAGCACTTGTACTTAGTACCCGAAATGAGATTTGCTTTACAGCCGGAAAAATGGAAATGCATTGGCAAGGACAGAAAAAAATATGATCAAAGTTAAAAATTTTGCTTCACTTAACTTTTTACGTGAATAACAATTCATAGATAATTGAAAAGTTTTGAATAAAGTAAGAGCATATCTGAAAATATTACTTTTGCGTATTGTTAATAAAAGTTTCCATTTGTCAATTTGAAATATTCATTCTATTAATTTATTCATATAAAGAGGATGAAATTATATTCACGTAAATTATATTAATTATTATATTATTAATAGCTTATATAAAATATAAGTATTGTTGATCCTATTATTGCATTGTAACATATTAGGATTATTATTTTATATATTTTAAAAACATATGTTATAATAATGCTGATAAATATAAATGATGTATCAAATAATTTTGAATTAGTATAAAATTTTATAAATGTAATCTATATATAATAAAAAATTATAATCTAACTATTAGTTTTAATATAAACTTATCCAATAAAAATTGACATAATTTATATTGCGTAATTTGACCCTGCTTCTCTCTTTATGTTACGTGTGTAGATACCAAATTACTTATTCTATGAATTTAAAGAAATTTGTAAATATGAAGTACTTTACCAAACAATTTATTCAATTATTATAAATTCCGTAAAATCTTTTTTAAAGTAACTTCCTTAGATTAATTATATTATCATTGACAGATTTTAGGACTTTTTTTTTGTAATGGGCTAATAAAATTCAAAGATTAAAGTTAACATTTTTTTCTTTAAAATAGAAAAATATTTTTTCGTACCGTTAATTTTTTATACTATTCTCATACCATTTTTTACGATATTAAAGGAAAAGGGACAATTTCATTTTAAATAATTTTTTCTCATAAAAAATTAAATGTAAGAGGAATGTAAAAGTTACGAATATCATTATTTTTTTTAAACAACTAAAAAGCTTAATTCTACAAATATGTTTTTTAAATCTTTTTTTTTGGTTCAATTCGTATGTATATTAATCGTTTCAAAATATTAGCAAGGATTATTCAAACCACATCAGATGAAAAGGTTGTCCCAAAAGTAACAACCTTGTTCACACCCATGATTCTGGTTTGACCCACAAAGCTATATGCCACGCCATGCACACCATAGCAACTCCTCCCATAGGCCATGCCAAAGCATGCAATAGAAAAAGCTTCTCTACTGTCACACTCTCTCTCTTTGCCTTTAATTGTCTCACTTTACTCTCTCAGAAATCAGAACCACAATAAAAAGAATAAGCTGTAGAACAACTGGACTTGGATTGGAACCATGATTACTTATACTTACTTTCTCTTTCAAATTCTGTGTCTTCTTTCAGTTTCTTATTCTTAGACCTTTTCCCTATCAGTGTTGTTTTAGCTGCTTCTATACATCATAGTCAAAAGCAAATTCTGATTTGATTCCAACTTCAGCTCACAAGCCTCAACAACACCCACAATTACTGTTTGATTCATATTATATGGATATTACAATCTCAAAAAGGCTTCTACGTTTTTCCTTCACCATATCACAACATGGTGTTAGTGTGATTATCTTTTGCTCCTGATTTACTCATGCTTATGTATTTGAAAACTCACTGAAATCAGGTTAAACTATGCTTCAATCTGAAAGCTATAATTTATAGCGTTAATATAGATTTATGTTCGAGTGGATTTGATGCCAATTCAAACACATGTCAGTGCACTTTTCTCTACAAGCACTAACTCTTTGCTTTCTTTCTAAAAACGGACTGAGTCATCTCACTTTGCTTGTCTCAAAAACTAAAATTCTGCTCCATTGTGAGTGCAATAATCACCATTCCTCAAAATTTCTGTACTTTGAAAAGCAGAAATTGAGTTTGCTGAAGTTGCTTTACTTTGTTTGTTGTCTCTTTTTTTTCACCTTTACATGGTTATTGTCTGTGTAGTCTATTCCTTTGTTTGTTTTTACTGCTCTTTTTGTTTGGTTATATCCACTGAGGATTTGATTTTAACTTCTCCAACTTTTTTGTGTCCTTTTTGCTGCTACTGTAGCAGTTGCATATAGTAGCACTAGCACCTTTGTGCTTCTCTCTCTCATTATTTTTCTTGCATTTCAAACTTTCTTATACTTGTGCGTGGCAAGGTTGTTGTTTGTTTTCGTTTGTTTATATACCATGCTTTGTTGGGACCCGCCAACCATTTTCTACCGTATGCAAGCAGATGGAATAGCAGTGTTCTTGTAAGGAAATAGATTTCTGCAAATTCATGAATAGCTTCTCTGAATGCATTCATGCATTCTGGATATCACTTCACTCTGATGATGCAAGTGCAATTCATATTATCACTATGTCTTGTTCTTTTTGGTCCACTCCTTGTGATCTCAATAGACTCAGCTTTCAATGATGATGTTTTGGGGTTGATTGTGTTCAAGGCTGGTCTAGAAGATCCAAGAGGTAAACTCTCTACATGGAATGAAGATGATTATAGTCCTTGCAATTGGGTTGGTGTCAAATGTGACCCTGCAACCAATAGGGTATTTGCACTTTTTCTTGATGGATTTTCTCTTTCTGGGCACATTGATAGAGGTATTTTCAGATTGCAGTTCCTTCAAATTCTCTCACTTTCTAGGAATAACTTCACCGGGACTATAAAACCAGATCTTCTTAGCCTTGGGAATTTACAAATTGTTGATTTGAGTGAGAACAACCTCTCAGGGTCAATCCCAGATGGGTTTTTCCAGCAATGTTGGTCTCTAAGAGTGGTGTCATTTGCCAACAACAACATTACAGGTAAGATTCCTGATTCTTTGAGATCCTGCTACTCATTGGTAGCTGTGAACTTTTCATCTAATCATCTAAATGGGCAATTACCATCCTGGATGTGGTATTTGAGGGGACTACAATCAATTGATCTGTCTAATAATTTTCTAGAGGGAGAGATTCCTGAAGGAATTCAGAATCTATATGATTTGAGGGAGTTAAAGCTTGGGAAGAACCATTTTACTGGAATGCTCCCTGAGGATATTGGAGAGTGTTTGCTTTTGAAATTGATTGATTTCAGTGGTAATTTTCTCTCTGGGAGACTTCCTGAGTCAATACAAAAACTCACCTCATGCACATTCCTCAGTTTGCAAGGGAATTCATTTACAGGAGGCATTCCATATTGGATTGGAGAATTGAAAAGTCTAGAGATATTGGATCTTTCAGCAAATAAATTCTCTGGTTGGATTCCAAAATCAATGGGAAATCTTGAGTCTCTGAGTAGATTAAATCTGTCAAGGAATCAGATCACAGGAAACCTGCCAGAGGTAATGGTAAGCTGCATTAAGCTTTTGGCTCTTGACATCAGCCACAATCACTTGGTAGGCCATCTTCCCTCATGGATATTTAGAATGGGTTTACAAAGTATCTCACTTTCGGGGACTGGCTTCAGCAGGAGCAGTTATCCTTCACTTACTCCAATTCCTGTATCTTTTCATGGCCTTCAGGTTTTGGATTTGTCTTCAAATGCACTTTCTGGTGAACTTCCATCCATAATTGGTGGTCTTAGTAGCTTGCAGGTATTAAATTTGGCCACCAACAATATCTCTGGTTCTATTCCTGTGAGTATAGGGGAACTTAAATCTTTGTACATTCTTGACTTAAGTGACAACAAGCTTAATGGAAGCATTCCTTCTGAAATAGAAGGTGCAGTTTCACTCAGTGAAATGAGGCTTCAAAAGAACTTCTTAGGTGGGAGAATTCCAGCCCAAATTGTGAATTGTTCAGCACTAACATTTCTGTAAGCTCTCTATCATAGCTGACACCTTTCATGCTTTATTCTCTATAACATAATTCGGTTGAATTGTTTATACAAATGAAAATCCTTCCTTTGGTTCTATTTTAGTAGTGAAAATTTAAATATTGTGTTTAAGAGTCTACATTTTTTCTGATGATTTTTTTCTTTGTGCGTCTCAATGGAATGGTACAGGAATCTTTCTCACAACAGGCTTATTGGTTCAATCCCTGCAGCCGTTACAAACCTAACAAATCTAAAGTATGTAGATTTGTCATGGAATCAACTATCAGGAAGCTTACCAAAGGAGTTGACAAATCTTTCCCAGCTTTTCTCATTTGATGTCTCATACAACCACCTTCAAGGTGAGTTACCAGAGGGTGGCTTCTTCAACATCATCTCTCCTTCATCACTTTCTGGTAATCCATTGTTATGTGGTTCTGTTGTTAATCACTCTTGCCCTTCTGTTCATCCAAAGCCTATAGTCCTAAATCCCAATTCTTCTTACTCAAACTCAGGCTCTTCCTTACAAAACCATCATCATAAGATGATGCTTAGTATATCTGTCCTTATTGCTATTGCTGGTGCTATTTTTATTGTCATTGGTGTGGTGGCTGTTACTGTCCTAAATATTCATGTGAGGTCTTCAATTTCACATTCTGCTGCTCCATTTGTATTCTCTGGTGGTGAGGACTATAGTTGTTCGCCCGCGAATGATCCAAACAATGGCAATCTTGTAATGTTTTCTGGAGATGCTGAATTTGCTGAAGGTGCTCATAATCTTCTCAACAAAGACAACGAAATTGGCCGCGGTGGATTTGGAGTTGTTTATTGCACTGTCCTTAGAGATGGCCATTCTGTTGCAATAAAAAAACTTACAATGTCAACTTTGACCAAATCTAAAGAAGACTTTGAGAGAGAGGTTCAAGTTCTTGGGAAGATCAAGCATCAAAATCTTGTGGCACTTGAGGGCTATTACTGGACTCCATCCTTGCACCTCCTAATTTACGAGTACCTAGCTAGAGGGAGTTTGCACAAGCTTCTACATGATGACAATAGCAAAAATGTCCTTTCTTGGAGACGAAGGTTCAAGATTATTCTTGGAATGGCAAAAGGGTTGGCCTATTTGCATCAAATGGACATAATTCATTATAATCTTAAGTCTATCAATGTTTTCATTGATTGTTCTGATGAGCCAAAAATAGGAGACTTTGGCTTGGTGAGGCTATTGCCAATGTTAGACCATTGTGTTTTGAGCAGCAAAATTCAAAGTGCACTTGGATACATGGCTCCTGAATTTGCTTGCCGCACTGTTAAGATAACTGAAAAATGTGACATATATAGTTTTGGAATTTTGATTTTGGAGGTGGTGACAGGAAAAAGACCTGTGGAATATATGGAGGATGATGTGGTTGTTCTATGTGACAAGGTAAGGGGTGCATTGGATGATGGCAAAGTGGAGCAATGTGTTGATAAGAAACTTATGGGAAATTTTGCTTCAGAGGAAGCAATTCCTGTGATCAAATTGGGTTTAGTTTGTGCATCTCAAGTACCCTCAAATCGTCCAGATATGGTTGAGGTAGTTAACATATTAGAGTTGATCCAATGCTCTTCAGAAGGACAAGGGGATTTATAATGAATTTTAAGTTTTAGAGATTGAGACACAACATATATTACAATTTCTGGTGAAGAACAATCCAGTTTGCTTGCTTTAAAGCCATACATCATGCAAAGAATTTTGTCAATTTCTTATCCAACTTTCACTTATTTCAGCTGTTGTAAGTTTCACCATATCTTTTCATTTTTCCTTTACTTTTGTTCATCTCAAGTTGTACTACTGGATTTTTCTTCACCAGTTTGACTGCCCATACAATGGTGTTTTCAATTTTTCATAGTACTCTTTCCATACAATGGATTTATGAATTTTTTATGAAATTCCTTTGGACACACTAAAAAACCGATTAGATTTATACTCTATTCTTTTATTAGTGAAATTACATTATATCACGTGAACTACATAGATTTTGACATGGGGTATTTGTGGTTAAATATGGGTTATTAAAAATTTAAGAAAATCACAAACCTTTGATTAGCAAATAAAAATATACATAAGAATATTTTATTTTATTTCCTGAGAGGCATGGAAGAAGTTAAATAAAAGGATACAACTTGCTTTTACTTTCCACGTGAAACCAAAAACTTGGATAGGAAAAACAAAACGAAATGGGGAACAAAGCAACGCCGTACAGCGAAGAGTAACGAGATCAAACCATATGCCACCACTTTCTACAAATAATGCCGAATAGAGGGAATATGAAAGAAAAAGAAAAGGTAAAGAGAAAAAGCACTCGCTTGCTTTATTCACACTTAAAGGTACAACTTAAATTTTTGTTTCCTCCTAGTTATACCCCATAAATCATAATAAATAAAAGAGATAAAAAGATTTATTAAAAAATTACGATTAATTATGATAAAAATAAAGGGATTAACAATTTTCTTAATCTGTTTACAAAATTTTAAAAACATACTAAAAGAAATGAAAGAAATAATAATTTACTTGCCTAATTTGACATTTCAGCTTTTGCTATTAAATTTAATAATTAACGCTTGGATGCGAAATAAAAATAAACAAATGATATATAATGTTATAATAGTATTAATTAAAAAAATAAAGTGCTTACTTCATTAAAAATATAACAATCAATACATATTTTTTAAATAAATAAAAAAAGTAATATAATATATTTTACATTATTTAATCAGCTGAAATAAATGGTTGTGTAGGAGACCACCACACAACCTTGTCAAACAAGCTTCTTCGACATAATCAAAGCGCGAGTAACAAAGAGTCCTTAAAAGCACCACCAACTATCAAGCTTTTTCAAATGGCAACACTTGTTGCAGTGCTTGATAATCATGGCTACCTTCCAACAATGTGCACTGTTTCTGATTGCTGTCTAATTGAAAGAGTGTGCACAGTATGATAATCAACCCCATTCATTCACACCAATGCTGCTATGTTCTAAAATGATTAAACATACACTTAAAAGACAACGTATATACATATATAGTTATCCCTAACATGTCCCTAAGAGATTGAATACAAGCTTAGAAATGAAAGATTTTTATTAAAAATCAATTTTGGTTCTTTAAATAGTACCTTAAAAACAACACTAATTAACATTTGCCAAAAAATAGTAACCGTCAAAAGAACATTATAAGCATTGAAATACAAATCAATACCTCCAATTAACATGCATGCTTAAAATTTAACAACTTATTTACTTTAAGCAATAAGAAGATATTACCTCATTTTCCGTGACTGATATGACTAAATGTTTGAAAGTGCTGAACTTTTTGGAATATTGTTCTTGAAAATACTGTTTGGGTTCCGTTAATTATTTCTTAGGAATAAACGTATTAGTTAATAGTAAGTTTGATTCAAAAGTTTTCTATAGCCAGATAATCAAATCAGGGCAATAAAATGTGAGTTGATCCTACTTTTGGAGGGTGAGATGCACAGTGTATTTCTGTGTTTACTATTCTCAGCAACCCAGCGAGTTTGGAGCAAATTTTTCGTAGTTCGGAACCTTCTCATCCAATCAAAATTCAACACATATCAATTTTTCTTTAAACAAAGATTTATTAGTTGAAGTGTTCTTTTTTAATTGTTAACTTTTAATCTAACAACTCAAATTTAAGATGGAGAAAAATATTGCTGTATAGGAATCCGATTCCTAATAAGAATGAACTATAGTGTATACAGAATTGTTCAAAGCTACTCTAGGCTTTCGTAGAAGAATATCCTACTCAATATTTGTCAAGTAGACATAATTAATTAGAATTTTAAGACAATATTAAAATAGTTTTAACAAAATTCGTTGCCTTTTAAATTATTGTTAAAATCATTAATTATATTTAATAAGTATTTTATGCTAAAATTACTCTCAAACGGTATGGAACCACATACATATGCTTTTTGAGAGAAATATGCCAAAGAGGGACATATGTGCATGAGCTATCAAACGATTCATGTATATGATTTTCTGTCTCTTTAAAACAAGCTGCAGATCAGAAAAACTGAAATTTTGTTCTCTGGTTTTTTTTCAATAGTTTATAGCAATGCTATATCATAGAGGCACGGAGTTTCAAATCTAATACTCATTGACAATGAGACAAGTCCTTGCAGTCAACTTATGAATTATGATTGCTCTTTATATAGCTTGAATAATACAAAAGGGAAATAAATTTCTTTGTACGTATGTTAAAAGTAAACAGAAGCATAACAATTAACAAACAACGCACTAACCAAGCACCAAATGATTAATATTCAGATTCAGAGCAATGATATATACACACATACACAAATATTTTAAGAATATATTTACTCTAATATTCATTACATCATGTCTCTTCCACTTGAATAAAGTTCCCATATCTCTGGAATTATTAGTTCAAATATCAAGTGCGATGAAATGGGCCCCGTAATAACAAAAATAATTGCATTTATTAATTGAGGTAGATAGTATCCCAAAAGAAATTAGTCTCAACTCTCTCAAACAAATAAGAAAATCTTTTAGATTTTTACTGATGGTTATTTTAATGATAACTTCTGTGGTTAAATTAAGAGGGTATTTTATATTTTCTTACACACATAATAATTATCACCTTTATTTTATATTAAATATGCATGATAGATAGTGAGAATCAGTGATCTACTTAGTAAAAATATAAATATTTTTAATCTCTAAAATATTAAAAAAAATCACACTCTCAATTTAAAAAAATATAAAATATTCCCTCAACTGTATAGATATCATAGTAAACACTAAACACTTGTTTTAATTCTACAAGAACTACCATTACTTTTTGGGTCAACATTCTACAGGAATTTGGAAAAGATAAACTACATATATAGGTTTTCAGTTAGGGTCTTAAAAATCGGCCCAATTCGTTATGCTGGCTTGTCTATATACTAATATTTCATGGGCTGGGCTTAAAAAATATTGATCCATTTTGCAGGAAAGTAATCATTTTTCACTTGTCTTTAACCTCACGACCAAAATACAACTAGGCTAAAACTACATGCAGTTACACACGGGCTTGACCCAAGAAAAACCTACACGCAAGGGTTGAACGAGTCAACCAATCGTAACTTGTAGTTGCTGTGGAGTGTGGACCCCACAAAAAAAAATTGCAGTTGCTAATATTTTAAATTTGAAAATAAAAAATGCCATCCCGTTTTAACTTCAAAAGCGGTTCTTATATAAACTGTGTTAATAACATATCAACCTGTTTAAATCATTATGTTTTTGGATCAGTCTATTTAACCAACAAATAAAATGATTTGATCCCAACATTACAAATAATAAAATGTAATAATGGATTTTTTACAAATGCCCTCAAGGTATAGCATTTATTTTTAATCTTAAAGCAACATCACATGAACAAAATTATATTATATGTCTTTTTTAATAAAAAAAGTATTATTAAATATTAAATTAGTAAATCAAATTTATTTAAAATTTGTAAAATAAAATAAATAAGTTAATGAGTTAAACTCAAAGTTTAAAATTAACTTTATATATATATATATATATATATATATATATATATGATCTTTTTATATTAATATAAATTTAAAAACTTTTATATTTAATATGAATATTTTATTTAATTTATATCAATAAACTAATAAATTATAATTATTTAAATATAAATTAAATAAAAAATTTGAATCAAATATAAAAAATTTTAAACCTACGAGCACTGGAAAAAGAAAGAAGCAACTAGAGAGTTTTTTTAGCTTTCACCGAGCTAAGCTTTGGTGGCAAATTTATTATAATATTGTAAATTAAAAAATAATTTATTATTTTATAACAAATCTGAAACAATTTTTTTAATCTGGAGTTTTTTTGCCACGTAGATCAAATTTTTACCAAACGGCTGGCGAAAGTAATTAATTTTTGAATTTTTTAATATCTATTTCGCCACAAAAAGTATGAAATATGACTTCTTAGAGCTGTTAATTTAAAACCGCTATCATAAGTCTATTTTAGAGAGCGATTCGAAAGAAACCGCTCTCATAACTCTATTTTAGAGAGCGGTTCTAACGGAACCGCTCTCTTAGGTATATACAGCCAATTGCATACAAATCTATATAAATTTTACATACAAATTTTATATAAATACAAAACTCTAATTACTAACATAAAATTAAAAAAAATTAATTTTTTCATATTTCCAATTTAAATCTACATAAATTACATTTAATTTATAATCATATAAAAACTATTACGTTTTTTAAAGTAAAAAATATTATTATTTACATACAAATTTTATTTAAATACAAAACTCTACTTACTGCATAAAATTAAATTACATTTTTATTTTTTTATATTTCTAATTTAAATCTACATAAATTTTATATAAATACAAAACTCTAATTACTAGCATAAAATTAAATTATATTTTTATTTTTTTATTTTTCTAATTTAAATTTACATATATTACATTTAGTTTATAATCATATAAATTATATTACGTTTTTAAAAGTAAAAAATTTTATTATTTACATACAAATTTTATACATACATTTCATATAAATTATGATTACTGCATTTAAAATTTTACAAT